TCAAGTGAGATGCAGTTTTTGCTCAAAATACGTTGTGGATTTAATTAATATAATCATTTGCATGGTGTACAGTTAAAAAATGCCAAAATTTGCATAACATTTAATCAAATTTAATAAAACTTTAAATATTTCTCGCAGATTTCAAGCTTATACTTTTATTTGGTGGTGCCATTTTGTCCACTAATTGATCCTTTTTTTAATAAATTGTTTTCAACAAGCAATGTAATGAAACTAAATGTGGAGAAATAAACAACAATATAATTTTCATTTCAAATTAAAGAGAAAATCTCATTTCAGGTGACACTTGCTCTCGATATGACGCAAACAAATTAGATTTTCATTTCACTCGCGCGGATAAATTCACCAGCACGTGTATATTATGCATCAAATAAAGGCAATTATTATTAGCGTGGCGAGAGAGGCTTGCCTTAGTTAGTTAGTCGAGTTGCGCCACAGTCTGTTGGAGAGCAAAGCAACGATCAATACACACACACTTTGAACACGTACGTAAGTATTCTCACGCACTTTCGAGCACAAAAGGAAAAACCACGTTCTCGTCGAGCTCTCCAATGCAGCCTTAGCTCTAACAAAGATTTTAATTTTGATGAAATTATATCTTGTTGAACCTATTTTCACCAAGGTTCATCCGGCGTGATGTAAAAAACTAAATACGCCTCTTACCAATGTCAACAGGTATGACTTTTTTTAAAAATAAAATCATATACATCTTTTTAATGGATCCACGACCGGTTTTCGTGACACGCCGAGGATTTCTGCAACACCTGCACGTGACGTTGCACACGATTATTCCTCATGTAAGGCAGTTTTTAAATTATATATAGATCAGGCGGCAGTAAAAAACAAACGACTACAGCAATAAAGAAATGGTTATGGCCAAAAGATATGTCGCGAGGGTGGCAGAAAGGGAAAATCCATAAGGATGCCAAGAAGTGCAGTAATACGTAAAAAGCGGCTGGGAAGCGAGTCTGAAAAACAAGCCAAAGGGCTTCGTGAATATTTTAGACGGGGAATTTCAATTTCTATGTATTTTCCATGTGGCTCGCTGTAGCTCCGAGCAATTTCGGTCACTGCCTCATGCTCAATTTTGCAGAACGGAAGCTCAGTTTACTCTATAATTATCATAAGGACATAATTATCTTTAAATTAAATCGGTATTGCGAAAATTTTGGCCCACCCATTCAAAACGATTCTGGGTTTAAATTTATCTTACATAGGAGCCGACCATGAGGATGAATTTTGCTTTTTAATTCAAATTCAAGCAAAAATATTCCAGCAATTTCTTTCCTGATAAGATAAATCACGCCATGCTTAAGATTATATACTTTTTACTAAGTCTTCCTTTTCTACTTGCCATAATTTTCTGTAATTTTTTTTAAATATTCTGGTAAAAGTTGGAGTTAAATTAAATGGGTAAATTTTGAGCTGTGGGTCGTGGAAAGTTTAAATTTCAAATTTCAAAAAGAAAAATGGAAGATTTGGTAAATTGGACGTCGATTGCATGGAAAAGAGAATTTTTGGGAAGAAATTAGTTTGAATTTTTAAACACATAATGCATCATGACACATGATAAATTGTTGCGTCGTTGGGGATAAAAACATAATAACAGAGTTTAGCCCACTCGTTTGCTAAATTACATATCATGAGCGTCAGATTTTCGTTCACGTTTCTAGGCGCAGCAAAGATTGTAGAACGAGCACGGAATCATGGATTCAATTTTTGTATTTATTTTTATTATCGTTACACTCATTGAAGCTAAAATTCTTATTCCTTCTTCTGTCTGCTCTGCACCGATCAACTTTATCATCAATTTAATACGTTAATTAATTTTTCACTAAATATTCTAAATTTTTCACGGCAAAAAATAAAGTTTCAAGGTGCACAAAAATTTATTTGGAGAACGTGATTTTACCCAATTTTCTAAAAGAAAAAAAAATGGTGATTGGAAAAGTTTGTTTTTCATAAACAGTAATAAATATTTACTTCATTTAATCAAAATTACAATTTCGGGATGGTATTAAATTACTTAAAGGCACAGGTTTACTAGCCAAGTTTCAATAAATCCACCTTAACTGCTTTTTTTAACTCATTTTTTCTGTTAGCCAATCCTGATTTTTTTTTTAGCAAATATATAAAATTGAATATCTAAAATGTATAAATAGAAATGAGAGACGCAAGTGGCTGCACAGGAACTGGCTCGACGGGTTCGTGATTGGCTTGATCGAGAGTATGTGCATAATAATTATATATTATTCTAATTGCAGCGGTACTTGAGTGTGTTGTTGAGCAACTCCCACCGGAGGAATAGCGGCAAAGCATGCCTACAAAAATAAACACAGGAAGCACACGTGTCTCTATAGGAAAGAAATTTCCCTGCATCCGCGTATAGCGAGTGAAATGCAGCCGCTCTTCATATTATACTTTCGCTCTCTTTGCCACTTTATCTATCTCGTCCGCCGTTCCAACCCTTTCAGCGTCCAAACTTTCTACGCAAAAAGCACGAGACTGACTTTTTCGGTCGGCGTCAAGTGCATTGTTTTCAATTCAAGGATATTATTTTGCTCGCGGGGCAAAACCCACAGATTCGGGGAGGAGCGAATCTGCAGATGGAGGATGATTCGCGCCTTTCTTTGTGCGCCTCCGACAAAAAGGGTCAATCTCCTGCGTGGTGCTTTTGGTCAACACTATATATTCACATTGTATTATGTATTTTGCAGAATCATGTTCGCAATGACGTGCGTTGATTAGTCGTGTAAATTTATCCAAGTCAAAAAGTTCTACCAAAAAAACTATAATTTATTTTCCTTACAATAACAACTTTTTAAAATTTTAAGATGCGACTCTTTTTAAGCATAAAACTATCAAAAAAATTTTATTGCACGTGTTTTTCTCGATTTTTGAGGAAATTGCATATCCTTATATCTTATTAAATTGGAGAAATTGTTTCTTAAGAATTTTAAAATATCAAAATAACAGTATTTTCAAAAATTACTGTGTCTCCGTCGTTGACAACAAATTGTTAAACATTTAAAAGTAAAATTTAAAGCAATTAAACCATTCAACTTTACATTTAATTTGTATATTTTTTAATTAAATAATTCGACAAATTTAACTATATTTTTTATTTTAATGATAATAAATTCTTATTAATATAAAACATTTTCTTTTAAATCTTTATGAAACTTAATAAATGTGATTTTTTATTAAATTTTAATTTAACCAAATTTTATACAAATTATATTTCTTTTACTTACAATTTAAATTATAATTTTTACATGATTTCAATTTTTTATGTATTTACTTTACATTACATACTTGTTTGCTTTCAATTTAAATACGGGCTGGTGGCCAAACAGAATATTTTTATCACGTACATCTCTCGTTATGGAAAAAAAAATCTGGCATGAAGCTCGATCATATGCATAATCCAATTACGGCCGAGCCACAAGCAACGATCAAAGCTGCTGCTTTTTGCGCCACATTGGTCGACGACCGCTGTTTGAACATTGCTAGATTGCAAGCGGCACAAGAAGAGGAGTTTTATCTGCCGTTCGCATCGGCCAGATTAAATTTATTATTGGATTGACCTTGCAGCGACAAAGTCGGCGAGAATTCCGCGTCTGGAATCGCTAACAATTCCAAACCCCGTGACAAAATGACAATCATTTGCAGTGATTTTGAGAGGAAGAAGTGAATTATGTAGACTGACTGCGGGTTTTATCGTTTGAGAAATTTCCAACCAGCTGAGTGGTGCAGAAAGAAGGAGTGTTGCAAGCTGATAAAGTTGGAGCGATAACAACTAGGGCTCGACCAAAGTAATGTGCCACTCAGTTTGTTAAATGCCGAAAATATTTCACGCATTAAATTTGGAAAAGACCGGTTCGGGGAAAAAAGCTTTGGAAAATAATAATTCAGCCTTTCAATTATGGATAAAGTTTGCCGATAATGAAAATTATGAATTAAAAACTAATCAGATCTTATTTTTACCATCCATTAATTAATTTTCAGGTCAGAACATTTACAATTTAAAAAATTTTAATTAAAAGCAAAACAAAAAGATCAAAGTAATATGTAAATATAATAATTTATTTTTTTGCGTATTTTATTAACTGATTTCCTTGGTTTTAGATGAATTTCCTTGTCTCACGATCAGCATATTATCAATTAAAATTGTCTTAATTTATCAGTAATTAATAGTTTTACTTTCAATCAATTTTCAATATTTAATTATCTAAGAAATTATTGTATTATTAAAATATTATATAATGTAGAGCATAAATAATTAACTCTAGGCAAAATGCAAGAGTTATTTCAGCCAAAAATCATCCTATGGTTTTGTGTGAAGTTTTAATCCTCAACGCAAACCTAACAAATTACAAATTGATTTAAATCGAATCAAAAATTCATAAAAAAAATAAATTTGTTATAAATCCAAATTTTATTTTCTCCTTAAATTTTTGAAATCCCTTAAATTTCTTTAAAGTCGTTATTGTTAATTAAAAAAAATTAAATTTAAAAAATTAAATAAAACGTTTCTTGTGCATTTAATTGGCGTTTTGGTTTAGATATTTCCTTGTGTCTGCATTCTCAATTAAAATTTCATTTATTTATAAATAATTTTTATTTTAAATGCAATTTTTATTGTTAAATTATCTCGTGATGATGGTATTATTAAGTAAAAATGCAATAGTGTAGAGTATGAAAAATAAACTGAAAGAGTTTCGTCAGTCAAAATGTTAAGAAATGATTTTTCTGTCAAAATATCATTTTCTTTAATGGTAAATTATGCTTTTAATCCTCAAAGCAACCCCAAGAAATTGCAACTTGATTAAAATCCAATGGAAATTTGATAAAAATTAATTTATAAGTTTTTGTTTTAAATTTCTGAAATCACTCAAATTTCTTTTAAATATCATTGCCATTTACAATAATTGTTTTAATTAATTTTAATAATAAATCATAAAAGGAAAAAGAAGTCTTACCGGCGATGAAGTCCTGGTCCAAGTGGTCCCTGGGCAGGAGGACGACGGGCGGCACCGGCCGGTTGCGGATGAGGCACTTGATGGCGAGGCGCCACCGCTGGGCCTCGCGCATGTTGTCCTCGAGGTGGTCGAACGACCTGAAGCGCAGGGTGATGGTCATCTTGTCGCGCTTGAACGTGGACGACTTGACGCCGCGACTCTTCTTGAGCAGGTACGAGTAGATGTAGAGGTAGACGCTCGAGTCGTTCTCGTCCTGCTCGGCCGAGTTCTGCTCGACGACGGCGATGCCGGTGCGGCGTCCGGGCGTCATCGGACGACACACGCACGACTCGGACTTGCGTCGCTTGCGCCGCATGCAGCGGCACCCGACGATGTCGTCCAGCTGAATCGTCTCGCTCTTCGAGTTGCCGTTGCTCTCCTTCTGCAGACTCAGACCCTTCTCGGTCAACTTGACCCGGTACACGGTCTTCTTCTTGTTGAAGATGTAGAACGTCTCCTCCAGCAGGACGGCGCCCCGCTGCTGCTGCTGCTGGATCTCCCCATTCATCTTTTTAACTCACTCGGCGCCCCCTTGTTGTTTTTTTCGTCCGCTCCGTTTTTTCATCCGACTCGCTGCTTATCTCTCGCGTTCAACCGCGCCCGATCGCGCTCCGTGCCTGACTGTTGAGCCGCGCCGCCGACGAGCCTCAACTCGAGGCCGCGCTCGCGGTCTACGCGCCTGCTCTGCTTTGCTCGCTCGCTCCCCCGCGACACTAAAAGTAAGCCTTCCTGTGTATTTACAACCGCGCACAGCCTGTTTTAGATGAAATGAAAAAGTTACTTTTTATTCATATATTTCTAAGCTCCATTTTTTTTTAAATTAGTAATGAAATTGATTTAATAGAGAATTAATTATTGTTTAAATAGCACAAAGAAAATGCTAATTATTTGAATTTTTCACTAACTATAATTATTATAGTAATTTTCCATAATAAAATACAGATACTGGTAAAGTTTCTTCACTTTTGTAATATGAGCGTAAAAACGATTTGATTAAACATAAAAAATATCAAAATTTTTAAATATATCTAAAAAATTAGAAATTGTAAAAAATTAAAAGTTTTTAGAGATTACTAATTCAGGAATATAACCGAAGTTTTCGCAAGAAAAATGAAAAGTTCCTCAAAACCTCATTTAATTTGAATGCAATTAATAAGGAAAATAAAATTAACCAGCTTTAACTTTTATGCTTTCATTGGCTTTTATTGCATAAATATAAAAAAATTCGCATAATGATTATTCAGTCAGATCCTCTTATGAGCTTTCAGTTATTATTGGTAATGATTTCAGCTCTTTACCCTGAGTTAAAATTAATGATTTTTTTTTAAACTTGCATCAATATGCAAAACATTTAATAAAGCAGATTTGAAATTGAGGTGGATTAATTTACAATTAGGAAGTCAATACCTATTCGAAGGTAATAGGAACTTCACCCTGAACATCACGGGAAACACATCCCAATCTTCTTGGCAAGAGGCGGAGGAAAAGCAGAGCTAACCTACAACAATCAACAAGAATGAACAATTAGGTGGATCTGAGATGTCACAACAGACAAAATGCATTACATTCATAATCGAGGAAGTTTGAAAATATAAATGAAATAATAAAATGTTTTTAAAAAGCAGGAAAATGACATAATTTTGACTATTGGGTTCCAAAACTAATAATAAAATTTCAATGATTCGAGTAGAAGAAAATCAATAATAATAATAATTAATTAAAACAGCTCTTGTTCCAAAGGGCAAGCTAAGATATACCAATATTTAGGATAAATAAAGGATAGTGACCAACTATTATTTTATTACCTGGCGGTACTTGGCGTGCAGAGGTCCACTGAACTCAAAGTGGTCTGGGAGCCCTTGAGACCGTGCATATTCACGTACAGAAAAGCATCTGTTATGTGCAGGATGCAGTCGCTGAGTAAAAAAAACGCATTGTTAATCCAGCATTGCAAATTCATATTTTTTTAAGTAAAGACCTGCTTCCCCATTGGCTCTGGAGTGGTGTCAGTTGTCTCGAATGGCTCAAATGGGTTTGCTCTTCCATAACATCCAGCCCACTGAACATGCTTGTCTGCTGTGTGAGGGAGGCACCACGGAATGATGGAATTTGTCTTTCCTCTCACACAATCAGGCTTTAGCTTGCCCTTCTCTTGACTTGACAGGCAAGGGCAAACTCCTTTGATGCCGTTGCTTTCGTGGTACTCGCTAGAAAAAAAAGTAAAAGTGATAAGTCAAAAAGACTAAACAGGATGTAAAAATCTTACAGTAAAGTTGCTGATGAGCCATCTGCCAAACGAAGTTCAATGTTTGGCAGATATCTCCAGTCTCCGCAAGGTGGAATAAGAGACACCCTGGCTTTGTAGAGAGGTGGCAAACTTCTGGTTACATGGTCCTTCAAGGTTGTTGAATGCTCTCGAGCCTAGAACATAATAATTGACATAAAAAAACACTGGAATATTTATTGAATACCTTTGCTTGGAATTTTGACTTGCATGGCAAGTATCCGCAGTTTCTTAACACTTGACCCTTGCTGGGGATGTCCGGGAGGTCTGAAACGGCGTCATAAACATTTAAGGATCTGAATGGTGCGTCCCTGCACTTTTGGCTAACAATGGTGGTGCCGTCTTCAATCTGTGGAAAGATTTATTAAAAAATCAACGAAAATTTAAAATAATCATTTTAAAATACCAGCTGGCCATTCAAAGTGAGAGAATGCTTTCTATGGTTTAGAACATGAGTTATTTTGGGGAAGCGGGGCAGCTCGTTGCCAGGAAGAGCCCCCAGGATGATGGTCCTACAATGCATGAGTCAATATCATTAGTTACCAAAATAATTGAAAATTGCATTACCTTTGGCGAGCTTGTGGCACTCCATATTCACCTGCTTGCAGGATTCCAATTCGAATCTGGTATCCTATCTTCAAAAAGCAAGCAATGACTATCTTCAGATACGTGCTCTGCTGAGCAGAGGCAAATTTCTCGCCGTTCTCGAAAATAAAGAACTTCGGCTTGAAAAAATCAATGTAGCTGCAGTAGGTTGACACTAAAGAGCTCTGCAATTTAATACAAATTAAAAATTAAGGTGTTAACGTTACTTTGAATCTTTCCTTGCTTCTGGAAAGACCAGGATCAATTCTGGTTAATATTTATGAATATTAATAAAATATAAAAAAAATTTAATTTATATACAATAAAGGTCAACAATAATAATGACCAAGTTGTTATTACCTGGAATAATGCAGCCTGGCATTTGGATAACTGATTTAGCTTCGAGAATCCTTGACAGGGTGGATTTCCCACAATCATCTGCACCTGACCCCTTTTTGGATAAATGTCATCATCGGAGTTTTTGATCTTTCCCTGAATATTTAGTATTTATTAGTTATTATAAAATTAGAAAAAAAATTACATTTGTACCTCCATCATATTGGCTAACATCTGATTTGCATCTTCATTGAAAACGGTTGCATCTTCAAAGTTCTTGCTATATGCCTGGGCAGCATCAAAGTCAACCTCGACAGCCCATTTGATGTCGCACAAGCCTGCCTCATGTAACCCAAATGAGAAACCGCCGCAACCAGCAAAAATATCAAATGTATTTAGTTTCTCAGTCGGCAATTTGTGACATGGTGCGCCAGCAGGTCTCTTTGTCTAAAAAGTTTTTTTTTTAGTTAATATTGCTAAAAATACCTACTATATTTTTTTTTACAAACCTCTAGGTCTATGCAGCCAATGGAATGTTTTGCTTCAAGAGGAACCTTTGAAGTTGTGTTGGTTCGCAAAGAGTACTTCTCAGAGTAGTAGAATCTACTGTCACCTCCCTGAACCCATTTATTTATATCAGGCAGACGACCTCTGTAAGCCACATAGGCTGGACCAAGAATCTCATCTGCTGAGATCTTTTTAGCTAAAACGTAATTCATGAAGCAATTGAACAAATATTAAGAATTAATTTTGATTACAGTCATCTGTATAGTACAACTCATGGGGACATTCAATTGAATTGAATTGTCTATTATGGTCAGGGATATGTGTGTCGCTTCGTCTCCTGAAAATCCTAACTTTCAGCTGCACATCCTTGGCTTGGAGTAACACTTTATCCCCATTGACTCTATATTCCAAAATCTGGCAAACACCTAAAACCGAGAATTCTTTCTCCTCAGTCCTACTTTTATCCACACGGTACGACTCTGGACAATTATCATAAACTCTCTGAAAAATTAAGTCAATGACAATAAAAGGCAAACAAGCAATTCAAAGACAAACCGTTGTGACTGGATTTGGGTCAGGAATAGAAGAGACTAGTCTCTTGGTTAGAGCATATGAACCAACACCGTAAGTGTTTCCTTTGAGCTCAAAGCCAAACTATAATTTTATTCTTAAGTATGTCAACTAATTAATTGAATATCTGATATATCTCACATTTGTCAACTGGACCATCTGCTCCACTCTTATCTTCTCTTTTTCTTCGCACAAATCACAATTCGGCCCCATTCTCGGTTCCAGACTTGTAAAGACTCCTCTCTCTGCATCATGTCTAAATATAGAGGGAAAAAGGTATTTTCTGTTGAAAATATTCAGTTTACAGATAAAATTACCTCATTTGATAAAACTCCATTCCATTTTTGTTGCTCTCTGCCTCAAAATCAGTCCTGTGTTTCAGTTGTGGCCTGTAGCTGATGATATTTGAATTTGGCACATCAATGCACAGATGAGTTCCGAAGTATTCCTCTTTCTCAGCTATCTGTCTCAGAAATGATTCCGAGCTTCTCCTAAAATTTATAAAAAAAATTACATTATATAAAAGATGGGGATACAGGTTTCTTACATGAACACCTGAATATGACAGAAGTCTCCATTTTTGTATATGACACGGCCGACATAGGGTTCTTTCAACTTTGTTCCCCCAACTTTCAGTGGCTTCTCATACTTGAACGTGACAAAGTCTGTTGGTAACTGCACAGACGCATATCCGACTTCATTGAGTGCGTCCATTTTGCTGAAAACCTGCAAGATTAAGTATTTTGCTAGCATTAGTTCATCTATGTAAAACGTTTTTTCACTTGCCACAGTTAAAAATAAATTGCAAATTATTTTTAATTATAAACAGAGTAAATTATCTGATGCAGCATAATACATAAGTTAAGACTAAGAAAATTAGTAAGTCCATGTACTAACATTCTCTTTCTCTTGGTGCATCTCCTTCGTTTCTTCGAATGTCCTAGAGAAGACCTCGTAGACTAGTGGAGTGTTGGTGGGCTTGGCGACCGACACTTTTACAATCCTACCATTTGGACTCTCCTTCTTCTTTATCCGTTTGTAATTCAGTGCAGCCAAGTCGCAGAATGTCTCAAAGCTCTCCTGTTCTAGAAGATGGGCATCATCGCTGCCATCTTCATTTGCTTCCATCACGTAGTTCAGGACTTGTTTAAGGATAAACAGACCATTCTCTACGAAATCTTGTATAGTTGGCATATCCAGCAGGTGAGCCATTGGTCCTGTAGGCTGGAAGTTTCTTTAAATTGTTAAAGTTTCCTTCTAAAAATTACATTAGACTTACAGAGAAGTTTCCGACTATTTCTTCCAGAGTTTGGCCGCTCATGGTCATCAAGGATCTTAGGAAGTGATTGGCCCAGTAAATCTTGTTGAGAGTTTTCTTGACTAATGGCTCAGTCTCTGTGTTGAATGAGAGGATTTTGTAATGGGCATGCTCAGTAAACACGCTCAAGAAGATCTCAGAAGAACCAAGCCCAGGTGTGAATAACTCCTGGATTTTGCTGGACATTTTGATGAATGGGCCTGAAAAAAATAAAGGATTTTTTGCAATTAAATAAATTCCAGATTACAGATGAAATTGCAAGCTCAGATATTTAAATAAATGCCAAGTGGCATCATACAACACATAATTGATTCTATAAATAGCAGGCAATATATTTCATAAAATTTAGGTAGATTATTTATTTGGTATATAGCTTTCATGTCAATTTAATCTTGAAGTATAATAACTCTAGGTCTCTTTTCTTAAAAATACCATCTGTGGTGTTGGTTGGGGTGGAGCGGTCATAGTCTTGCAAGTATCCAGACATATAAACGGTCTTATCCTTCTCTACCAGACGTTCGTCTAAACCACAGCTATGCAAATTTCCGCAGAAGAATCTATCGAGAAAACATAAACTCTAATGAATAAATTCTAATTTTGCAGTAATTAAACATACGTGACTTCTTCAATGCTGAAATTAGGTAACTTTTCATCAGTTACTGGATGAAGTTTTTCAGGAAGTTGGGAAAACGTGCGAAGCGCCAGAATTTCATCTTCTCCCTCGATAGAAAGTACATCTGCGAGATCTAAATCAACACCGCACTCTGAACAGTGTGCACCTCTGTAAGATTGATTAGCAAAATGTATTAAAACGTAATAAACAAGCTATGCAAATTCGTACTTATGTTTCTTCGGCAAGCGACGAGTTGAAGGCGATGCTGAATTCTGTCTCCTTGGAAGATAAATAAAATTATTAAATTAAAATAATACATTTAATACATATAAAATATTCGCATGATTTATGTTTCAATTAAAATAATCTCTTGGAAATTTACTTTTTAAAAAGGCACCACGAAAAAGAAAACCGTGTTTCATACCTAAAACTCTGCCTCCGCCTTGTTGTTGTTCCGGCAAATCCGCCATGGTATCATCAACAAAAAGGCAATTTTAGCCGATTACGTGCTCAATCTTATTCTCCAAAACTTCCATAAACACAGTTTTTATGGCAGGACGACTATGATGCTTTGGTTTTAAATTTTTGTATTACGCAGAAACCTGAAAAGAACTGTCGAGTGCTGATCAGTCGTTTCCGATTCCAAATCAAAATCCAAAATCGTAACCACTTAAAAACTCAAAATTTCTGCACGCCGACACCACGCTGTGCGACTTGACTTGACGGCAGTAATGCCTCTTCTACACTGCACTTAAGATAGCTATCTTAAGTCAAAAATTGGCTTGAGACACCGGTGGAGAGTGAAGTAGTGAGTCCATCGGGAGTAAATTTTTCTCCCGAGGAGTCCCATTCCCGGAAAAATTCTCGTTTTCCCACCCACTCCCGGCGAGTTCTGTGTCAAATATCTCCCGGGAATTCCCGTTCCCGAAAAAAATTTCCCGGGAGTCCCGGTTATTACTATTTTTAATTTTTATAATGAAAATTTCAAATATAAGTAAGAACAAGTTTTTTTTGCCTTTTTTATAGCGAAAATTCGAATTTTTTGGAGTAAAAAACAGGGGTTTTTCTAGCGAAAAATTGAAAAAAAGAAAATTGTAAAAAACAGTTAATTTTGCTGAAGGTTTTTCATAATTTTGCTCCCGGGAATTCCCACTCTCGAGAAAATTTTCCCGGTTCACTCCTGCCTTGAAAAAATGGGTACTAAATCGCTCCCGGGAGGCAATTTTCCCGGGAATTCCCGGGACTCCTGCAAATTCCCGTTCCCGTTGGACACACTAGAGTGAAGTATGGTTTGCTGAGACAGCAAGCTCCCTCAGCGAGCTCGCGAGCTGTCTTGGCAGCACTTTTTGCTTAGCACATGCGCACTTCGAGGGACAAGTTGTAAACAAACCCAAGTTTTTCTTACGGGTGGTGTCCAAAAATTAGTGTTTTTCTGACAAATTACTGACCTTTTGCACAAAAAAATTAAGAAGATAAACATCTCAAACTAAAGAGACATTAGATTAACATGGAGGCCATCACTACAACCTATTTCAAGAGGTGAAAATAATTTTTTACTTCACCAACATGGAATTTTTAATGGTGTGGAATAATTATTTTATTCCTCTCTTAATTTGTTTTTTTTGACTGTGGCTGTGTCATCGGAGAACTTCATTGTTTTTTTTATTATTATTATTCAATTAATTTTCGGCTTACAATTAAATTCATTTTTAAGGGCTTTCTTTTTAGTTATTCTTTTTTGATTTCTGGCAATTGTTTTAAGTTGAATTCTTACAAATAAATCTTGCATTTATTTTAAATTTAAAGTAGCTTTAAATTTACAAATAATTATTATAAATTCAATTGGAATTAGCTTGTACAATTCATGGGATTCCAATTCACTTCAAGGGAATTTATAAAGGCATTTTAGAATTCAACTGCAGATTCACAGAACTTTCTAGATGCATCTAGAAAGTTCTCAATGTAAATCAAATGGGTGGGTGGGTTTTGCGCGACCCTCCCAGGGCTGCTACCCGCGCTATAAAAGGCGCTCCGTCCGCTGGCTCGATGCAGAAGGCTGACAGACCTCAGAGAAATCGCAGGACACCTGGACACCCAGTGCAGTTTCGGACGCCCGTCCGATCCCTTCGCACCCGTCCGAGCTGTCCCACGGCGCCGACCGCTGTCCTGTCCCGGCGCTGTCTCGTCCGAGAACAGCCGGAAGGCCGACCGCGTCCCGAGCCCCTCGAGAGACACACCATCAGTGTCCCTCGTACTGTCCCGGATGCGGCTGAGCCGTCCGAAGCCATACGGAGCAGCTTTGCCAGGTAAGAGAGACGATTCCAATTAGTCTCTCCCTGAGGCCTTCTTTTGGCCGAAAGGTCAAACCACTACGTGGGACGGAAGTACAGCCGAGTGACCCATTGTTTTTGTCCCCAGCTCCTTCCTGTCCGAGGATTCGGGCGCCGACGTGGCACACCGCCAGCGAGCGTTCGGACGAAGGCGTACGAACGTCCGCCGCCAGAGACCAGCACGCCGTGGGCCCCGGCCGCGCCGAGAGCCGCCGCCGACCTGCAGGGAGCCGCCGGGTGTCCAGCAAGGACGTTTCCAGGGCAGCCAGCCGGCCTACCCAGGGAACACCGCTCCCCTTTGTTTATTTTCCAAGAGACATTAAACTAACAATTTCGAGTCAGTGAAATTTACCATTCTGCCAGAATTGTTGTGTTAAATAAAGCCCGTTTGTAAGCTGACCCAATTTGTTTTAACAGAATACCCCAACCAATATAATTATTAAACAATTATCAATAGTATTAATTTAAACAATAGATATTATTGAACAATTACCCATTAATAATTTAAATAAAATAGAATTTATTAAACAATTAAATAATCAGTCAGTATAATAATATGCAAACCCCTTACTTGCAACTTATTATTTTTTTGGTTTGCAATAAACTAAATTTGTAATACCATTAATATTTTTTTTTTATAAAATTAATAAATCTTTTGTTCATTATTAAAAATTTAAATAAAAAATTATATTTCAAACACAACAAATATATTCTAAATGAATTTTCCCCCTAAAATCATTTTGTCTTTTAAAATTAAAATTTTTTCAATTATTTAATTCCTTTCACTTAAAACTTGGAAAATTAAAATTACAATAAAACTCTTTGACAGGTGATGTTGTGGATCATTAAAATAAGTTTATAATACAGATCGTGATCCTGAAATAATTTTATTATTGGATTTTATCAGATTTTATAATGTAACTTACATATTATATGGTGAAGTGAAATTATTGCTATTTATAAATTGATTACACTGTTTTTAATTTTCAAGATTTTTTCATCAAATGTGCAATTAGCAAATTTTAATTGGAAATTAATTTAAAAAAGAATGACAGAGCAGAAATAAGAAAGCGCTAGATATTTTAATTGTTTTGCGTCAAAAAATTGATCTATACGTTAGTCAATTATAATTATATTTTAATTTAAGTCTTTATAAAAATTTTTCATAGTAAATATTGCGAAATATGAAAATTTTATATTTTTAATAGAGTTTTCTGGTCGAGTGATTGGCTGGTCTGACCGCAAAAATAATTGGCGCTTCGATCGATTTAAGTGCAGTGTAAAATGCAGTAATTTTGGCTTAGCATGCCCTAAGACAGCAATTGCTCAGCACTATCTTAAGTGAGCGTTTGATGTAGAGCCAGCAGACTGACGGGAACACAAGAAGTCCAAGAACTGCGAGGTTGCGATTTTGCTTGGATTTTGCGAACGAATTTCACTCATACCAACATAAGAAATGTAATAAAAAATCCTGCACTTGCAATTAATTAAACATTAGTCAAATATTTTACAAAATTATTTTACAAAACTATTATTTTTTAATTTTTTGGGACTCTTGGACATAGATTGTTGCTATCAGTTTGCTATAACAATGTTCTATTTTGACTGCTTTAGTTGTTGTCTTGGTTGAGGGGGGCGGGGTCCAAGCCAGAAGCCAGCACGTGAGATTTAAAATCAAAACACAGGCAACAACAAGAGCGAGAAATGTATTAAATTTGTTCTCCTTAACCCGCTAACTATTTTAAAGGCTGGAACACCGGCTACTTTTTGTAGAAAATAAGAGCTTATTTTATTCGATTGGGCTTCGGCCACTCCCCCCTTACTCTATGTGGGCTTCAAAAATAAGCTCGGCCAGACCTCTGGTCGAGCCAGACGTTGTTTTTGAGGCGCCTGCGCACAGTGCTCAAAGTGACGTAGGTCATGATTTTTAAAACTCGCGCGCACAACCAACCCACATGGTTTTGCCCGCTGAAATTGATAAACATAGCTGCTCTGTGCTCGCAGACTGTGTGAATCCTTGAATTATTTCGAAAATGAGCAAACCCACCGTTCCAAAGGTTAAAAAACCTAGGAAAAAAACCCCAATCTTGCCGGACCTGAAGCCTGAGGTTGAGGTGACGGACGCAGAGAAGGAGAAACTCATCGACTTGGTAAAAATAACCCCCAGCGTATGGGACACTTCGTCTGAAGACTACAAGAACTCAAAAGACGTTGAGGAAACCTGGAAAAAGTGGAGTCGTGAATTAAAATTTGGTAATTGAACTAAAATTGAAAGTTACGCAATAATTACATATTTCTTCTCCCAATCAGACTGCAAGAATACTTTCAAAAATCTCAGGAATAATTTCTCAACCCAACGCAGATCAAACACTGACTCGTCACGAAGTGGATCGGAAGGAGGAAAAAAACAAAAACTTTTTAAGTTTTATGACAAAATGATGTTTCTGAATGACGTAATCATTAGTAGGCAAAAATCTTCAAAGACTGTTTCAAGCATGGAATATAAGTAAGTTTACAATTATTTATATATGTTCAAAGTAAACAATATTATAACAAAATGAACAATTTAGAATGTTGGTCCATATTTAAATTAAATGCATTTGAAAGCTTTATTATGCAGAAATTTCAAATTATTTTATATTTATGTTTGAAAATTAATGTTCATACTCCCATGACTTGCAGGCCAAAATCAACACCCACTGAATTGGAAGAACCTACTGATATTGTCGATGTGCGTTTAATTTATATTTTATATTGTTTCAAAAGTTTACAAAATTTAATTTTAGTGTGAAGATCCTGAGTTGGAGGAAGACAACTTTGAGGAGGAGACACCAAAGCGTAAGAAGAAGAGGTCTGCCAACTTTGATCTAATTTCAGACACAGTTGGCATGATAATCGATAACTGCCCAAACTACCAACACCACCACCTGCTAAGGTCAAGCCTGGCAGCTTTGAAGCTTTTCCAGAGCCACTGATTCAGTGTTTAGTCACATGGGGAAATATGCTCAAGGACAATGAGATATCTGGAGACATATTGAAGACATTTTCAAGGACTGTTCAGAGACAAATTCTTGATCTGGCTGAAAGCAATCAGGCCATTTATGATCACTACTGATTGAATATTTGGGCACAAGTGCAATTAAACCCTTTTAATCTTTTTAAAACATAAGCAATTTTTCATTAAGTGCAATCATCTTTTGTTAAACCAAACTTATTTAAATGAAGACTTGTTTGTGTTTTTATTAACCAGTTTTACTTTTAATCAGGTTGTATTTTTCTACAAAAACCTAAATTAAAATGCGCATTTAATATGTTTAAAATTAAAACTTAGTGACAATATTTACACAATTTCCATCTGGAAGGTTTAATTAAAACAACTTGTTTATTGATATAAAAATACATGTATTTTTTGAAAGGAAATAAAAGTTTATAAATTCAATTACATATCTTTAATTTTTAAAAAAAACACACACAAAATTAAACCTAATACAGCATGAAATTTTTTAATCAAACGCTCTTTCTTTAATCAAACGCTCTTTTTGGCAACAACAATTTCTGACATCTTTGAAATCATTTTCTGCTGGCGACAGTTTTAAGAGCCTCTTCGGCTCTCTGAACACCCCGGTTTACATACTTCTCTTGATATGGCAGTGCATAGTCGTAAGTCAGGTATCGGGCCAACATGTCTCGTTGAACCCTTGCTTCAGTAATTGGCGTGCGACTTGATCTCATTGGGAGATCTACTAATTTAGACCCCTCAATTGACTTTCGCCATGCACCCGGAACGGATAATTCACCCCTCTTATAAACATCCCCAAAATAGCCAGGAGGAACTCTCACACCACTCCTTTCTTTTGTTTTCATTAAAAAGTTGTGCAGGCATACACAAGCCTGCACAAAAAGACAGGCGTTTTCTGGGTGAGCTTCAATTGTTCGATGAAAGATTCTCCACCTGGCTGCCAAAATACCAAAAGTGTTTTCTATTACCCGCCTTGCCCTTGAGAGACGGTAATTAAAAACACGCCTCTCGTACGAAAGAAGCTCGTCTTCCACACTCAACAACCCTTTTCCATAAGGGATCAGAAAATCAGTACGGAGTCCAAAAGCTTCATCTCCAACAAAGAAGAAATTACAGTTTTGATCATTTTTTGCTTTTGGAAGCAACCCAGCTTCAGGAATCGGGTGGGTTTCATTAAGAATGCTCTGGCCAAAAGGGCTCAATCTAAAAACTCCAGCATCACTTAAAACACCAACATACCCAACCTCGGCAATTGTAAAACAATAATTTGCATCGCAGACGGCAAAGAGGTTCACACTAAATTGTTTTTTGTAATTAAAGAATGTTGAACCTGAGTTCGGTGGACACTTCATTACTACATGCTTTCCGTCCACCGCCCCAATACAGTTTGGCAAATTCCAGCGGTCTTCAAACTCTTTTGCAATTACTTTGTATTCCTCCTTGGTTGGCGCTTTAATGTATTGAGGCATCAGAGCTGATGTAATTGCTGCACATGTTTCAGCAACTATTTGCCTGCAGGTTGAATCTCCGATTCGAAAAGCACAAGCTAGCGTATGAGTGCTATCACCGGCGGCCAGAAATCTACATTGACAAAAAATAATAGTCAATATATTTTTTTTAAATAGTACACTCAAAAAAATAGCACACCTTAGGGTGACTGCAACCCTCATGTCAGTTGGAAATGGTCTATGAGTGAAGACATCTTTCTGGACCAAGTGGGGTCGAATAAGCTCACATAAAAAGTCAAATTGTTTAACACTCATCCGGAAAAATTTAAAGAATCGTTGAGGGTGGACCCTTAATTCTTGATACAAGTTGTGGTAGAAACCTAGGAATTATTTCCGATATTTAAAATAAATTATATCATTGAATTTTAGGAACCTACCTTTTTCATTTCTTTTTTTGTTGATTTCATGAACCCCCACGCTCCTATTCTTTGTATTTTGGTTGCTAAGTGTTACTGCAAGTGCTATTCCAGTTTGCAAGACGAAATTGTTCATTTGTTGTTGGTAATTAAGTAGGAAATCGGCATATTCGTCGCCCTCCATCGATATAAACAAATATTTGAGCTTTCAAGCGGGAAAATGGGGGTGTTGCTCAGGAGGGGCTGGGAGTGGCCGACACACCTGCCACCTGGTGGATCCAGGAATGTACTGGATAGTGTGGAACACTAACCAACAGATGGCGGTAGCTCAAATCGGGAGTTTCGCGGTAGGCATAAAATAGCCGGTGTTTCACAAAATAAGACAAAGTAGCTCTGGCTTGAAAATAAAATAAGCCCTATTTTACAAAAAGTAGCCGGTGTTCCAGCCTTTAACTGAACTTTTGGAAATCCCTTTAATTAATTTTTAAATATGCGAGCCCTGCCATGGTTGTCTCTGCCCTTGAGGAGGTACTTCAGTAGTGAGAGAAACGTGCTGGGATTGAGGAGAGGCAAATTGTTTGAAGATATATTTCCAAACGAAGCCAGGTTTTTTTTTCCAAATTTACTTCTCTTTATTAAAAAAATTACCTAGGTAATTTTTTAGAAATGAAGTGTCTGCGCTTTTGTCATCTGGTCAGCAGTGTGTTTACGCCGGCTTCGACCCAACTTCGGATAGTCTTCATGTTGGAAATCTTTTGATCCTCATCAATCTCTTGCACTGGCAAAGGGCTGGACACGACACGATCGCCCTTGTATAGTATTTCAATTTTTGATTTGACTTTTAACCTAGCATATTTATATTCTGACAGGTTGGTGGTGCAACTGGGCTGATTGGGGACCCGAGTGGAAGGTCCACAGAAAGGCCTGAGTTGGCTTATCAAAAAGTGGAGGCCAACGCTGCAGGAATCAGGGAGAACATTGAGACTATTTTTAAGAATCATCATGATTTCATCTGGCAAAAGAAGCAACTGCCTCCTGTTCGGTTTGTCCTATTTTCCAGAATCATGTCAGTGGATCACTGAACTTTTTTTCTGTTTTTCCACAGAGTTGTCAATAATTTATCCTGGTACAAAGAGCTGGACTTGTTGCACTTCTTTTCACGCATTGGGAGACACTTTCGAGTAGGTCAAATGCTCTCCAGGCACAGTGTAAAATCAAGACTTGCCAGTGAACAAGGAATCAGTTTTACTGAATTTTCGTACCAAATTTTCCAATCTTATGACTGGCTCCACTTGCTCAAAAACTACAACTGCAGGTTTCAGGTAAAAAGAAAATACAATTACACTTTCTGTTGCTAATTTGGTTCCACCAGGTGGGAGGAAATGACCAAATGGGTAACATCGTCTCCGGACACGATCTCATCGGTCAAGCTGAAAAAAAGAATGTTTATGGTAGATGACCCATTTCAAGTCAACAAGTTATAATTCAGAATTTTTACCAACAGGTCTTACATTGCCCCTGATTGTGTCTGAGTCGGGAAGTAAATTTGGAAAGTCTGCTGGGAATGCAGTTTGGTTGAATGCAGATAAAACGCCACCATTTGAGCTATACCAGTTCTTTGTTCGAACTCCAGATTTGAACACGGAGAATCTATTGAGACTCTTTACGTTTTTGCCAGACGAAGAAATAGATAATCTTCGGAAAAGTCTCTTAGTAAGATTTAAGATGGAATGTAATTTTTCTTCCACTGATCGAAACTAATTCTAGGAGGAACCGCACAAAAGAGCTGCTCAGGAGGCATTGGCAGAACAAGTCACCCTCCTAGTCCATGGAGGTTTGTTTTTGTTCTTTTAGATTTATCCAGATTAAATTTTCTTTTTGCAAGCAGAATCTGGATTGCGGACAGCACAACTGGCCTCCGATGCACTTTACAAAGGAGACCTTGCAGCTCTAGAGCAGCTACCCTTGGAAAGCATCAACAGATTATTTTCTGGAGCAAGTGTTTGCACCTTGGACCCAAATAAGACTAGAACCATAATGGAGTTCGCTCTTGAAACTAAATGCTACCGGGATGAAAGTAATAACATTTTGAAATCCAGTGTTTTCAGGTATTAATAATAATGTATTACAGTAGATGCAAAGCCCAGAATATCGGCAGGCGGGTTTTATGTGAATATGCGTAGAATGAATGATCCAAATCAAGTATTTCACCCAGCGGACTTCATATTGAAAAATAAAATTACTCTAGTCAGAACTGGTAGGCATTTTAAATGGGATTAAATCATGATAAATAATTGTATTCCATCTTGATTTTTAGGAAAGAGGAATTATCACATAATCAACTGGACATCTTGATAAAATACATCGAATACTTTTTTGGGCAAAAAATAAAAACGTAGGTATTTTATTGAACATAAGAAGCTTCGTCAGTTTCTTGCACACTCGGAGCTGCCGACAGAGTTTGGTAGTTGACTTTGATGCTCTTCAGCGTGGCCATGATTGAGTGTAAGTGAGACTTGTGTTGCGGAAAGTCTGGCTCCAGAGATTCAACGATGGAGATCAAGTTTGAGTGCACCACTTTTTGCTTCTCTGTCTCTGCTATCAGTGAGGATTCTGACTTGCACAGGGTTTTGTATTTTCCATCCCTGGCATCTCCCAGTCCCCGAGCAACCTTTTGCTCGTGCACCAGTTGCTCTAATTTCTGTCAAATACAATTTCTATAATAATTGGAAAGGAAACGCTGAAATTTTACCTCCTTCTTGATGCTTCTCAAGCTGTGCAACCTGCTTCCAGTTGCCTTTAAAGGTTCTGCGATTTTATAAATCTGATTATTCTTCTCCTCTAGCTCTTCCTCCAAACCATTTATTTCTCGCTCTATCACTTTCAGTGAAACCTTGTCACTCTCATATTTGTCTAGTTTCTGAATGTTTTAATAATCATTTACAATTTTCAAGTTTTTTATGTATTTTTGTACCGATTTCAACTGCCCATTATTGTATTTAAGAGTTTCATATCTGCGCAGGGCCTTCAGTCGAGCTGAGTTGGCCACTGAGTGCTTGGGGTGCCGCACTCTGTTGGAATCCACCATGGCGTCTCTCCTCAGGACGCACTGCTCCAGGTCTAGTTTCAACTTTTCTTGGGCCCTTTTCAATTGACTCAAGCGAACCTTCACCAAGCGTCTTAAACGGTGACCGCATGTTTAAAAAAAAAAATTACCTCCATTCTGTGGATCTCAGTTTTCATAGCTGAAATTTCTCCCTGGCAACCCCGTTCCCTTTCAATGGCAAGTTTTGTTTCACTGGCCAGTGAAAGTTTTCCCTCCAGGTCGACTTGCTCTGTCTGCAACTGCCTCAAAGTATCGTAGAGCTGATTGCGTTCTGTGCTTAACAAGAGCAATTTTCCCGAGAGCTCGTGCATTTTCAGCTCCTCTTCCTAAAACGATTTCTCATTATTATGAGAAAAGAGGCTTAGCAATTTTTATCACCTTGACCACCGACTGAATTCCAGTTATTGAGAGAAGGTTGTCTTTTTGCAGTTCAAGTTGCTCCATTTTTGTTTTGGCTATTTCCTTGTCTACGTTTGATAAAGCCAAGGCTTGGTTTTCCAAACTCTTCTTGACAGAGCTTTTCAGCGCATTCAGTCGCTCCAACTCTTCCACTTGGCCTCTTGATTTGTGTTGAAGATTTTCCAAACCTACAAAATATAAATAATAATTATTATTATTATTTATTCTACTTAAGTCATACAAAAAAAAATTCATATATATTTCATTTTTAACTCTAAACATTACTTCTTTGCAGAATTTCTGCCTCCTTTCTTAATTTGCTCATTTTCTCATTTCTGTCCATCAACGCCACTTCTTTTCTTAGCAAACTTTTCTGGAGCCTCTGTATTTCTGCAGACAGAGCTTTTATCTCGTTCTCCATTTCAGTTATTCTTGCTTCGGCAGGGTTCATCTCTTGGCCCTAAATGAATGGAAACAAAACATAATTAATGTACATTAATTTATTTTATTTCACCCCAGTTTTTTCAACATGCGCTGCCAGCTTTGAGTTCAACCTGTCGAATCTCCCCTGTTTCACCGAGAGCTCAGTCTGTGCCTTGCGGAGTTCCTGCTCAGCAACTTGCACTTCCCAATTGCCTTCATTTGCCTTTTCCACCTGCTGCTTCTGGTACTCAATTATCTGCGCCTCTTCGTGCTTCAGCTTTTGCATTTCTAACTCCACTTGGGCAAATTGCATCTCCTTCTGAGCCTTTTCTTTTTCCTTTATTTTGCCAATTAGCAAATATGTATTTTTCTTTATAAAAAGTGAACTCACTTGTCCATCCAAAATATTATTCAGCTCATCAACTCTTTTAATCGTGAGTTGCACTGATTTATCTTGAGTTGCCTGTGCATTCATGGCTTCAAGTAATTTCTTTTCCAGCTCCATCTCACTACTGCGCAGATTCAGAATCTCATGCTCAAGAATTTTCAGCCTGCTCTCCTTTGAGCGCAAAACCTGTTCACAAAATTTTAACCTATATTTTCTGAAAAATTAAAGTTATTTCCTACCCTGTTTATTTCCTTCACGTTGTCCTCTGTCATTCCAACCAAAGCGCTAGTTTTGTCCATCTGTTCCTGCAGCTCCTCCACTCTTTTGATTTCCTTCCGAATTTGCACATCCAAACGCGCCTTTTCTCTCTGGATGCGTTTGTAGGCAGCCATGCACTTTTCGTTGTGCTTCTTTTCCACCTCCCAGCCTTTCACATACTGCTCGTTTAATTTTTCAGCAAGTTTAATCCCTTCTCGGATTGATCTAAATATTTAAAATATTCATATATTATCCAATTACATTTTTCATTGCAGAAAATGACTCACTCTGTCTTCTCCAGTAAAAACGTAAACTCTGAGTCCTTATTCTTGGCCGCAACCAGCAGCCTCTGCCACACTTGCGACAGCCGATGCTGGTCTCGACTTAGCTCCTCCAAATCCACACCAGCCATCTTCACCGCCTGCTGCAATTTAGCCTCCTCGTTTTGCTTTGACGCAGTTTGGTGCTCAAGTTTAGCCAAAAGGGCCTGCAGGTCCGACACCTGGCATGTCAGTCTGTAGACAAATTCATCCTATAGGTTGACAAAAAATTTAATTTAGTGCGTTTTGATAAAAATTAATTTTCAGTTAACCTGTTTCTTTTTCTCTTCAATCAAATTGCGCTTGTCGATTTTCGCCTTCTCTGTTTGACGTCGTACGAGAGCCAGCTGGGCTTCAGCTTCTTCTTCCTTTCTCCTTATCAGGTTGTCCTTGAGAGTTTTTTCACCCAAAGAGTGCCAAAGGTTTTGCTCTGATAAAAAGATCAATTTGTTTATTTTAATGAAGAGAAATTTAAATTGTCAAAAAAAAAATACCCATAATTTGAGCTTCTTGCAAGTTTTTCGCCACCTCTCGGTGATTTCCTGTAAACTCTTTGTTGCACTTTTCCAACTCGTCTCGCAACTCTGCACTTGACGCAGCATTTTCCGTTTTTATATCGAGCTGGGCGTGCTGCCGACTCACTGACTGTTGCACAAGGTAGAGTTTTTCAGCAACATCATCAGACTCCCTCCGTTTGACTTTCACTTTGGAGGCCTTAAAAATTATAAAGATTTATTTTATTCTAGGGAATTTTTTTATATGTATTCTTTAATTTTTACCATTTCCTTGATATCAATTGCCAGTTGTTCTTTTTGTCTTGAGAGATGCTTGAAAATAGCCTTGTGGAAGTTGCTGAGCAAAGGATGGTTGGGTGCCAAAACGACCACATCCTCTTCGTCCTGTCCAAAGAAGTCGCCGCGCGGAAAATCTTCCGCTTCTTCATTGGAGTCCCTTTCCTCATGTTCGATGTCAGCGTCGTCGTCATTCGGCCAGCCCAAGGACGGCGAACTGCTCGTCTGCAGAGACAAGACGTCGCCCCCACTGCCTGGTCCAGGTCGTTGACCCTGGGAGGTGCTACTGATGGCCGAGGAGGATGGGCTCGTTTGGGTTTCATTCTCATATTTGTCAGACATATTTCCTGGCAAAGGTTTCAGAAAGAAAAATGTATCAGAAATTAAGCGACGTTCTCAAAGAATATGCGTAATGAACAAAGAAAAGAATTTTTCAAATTCATGTTGCCATAGCAACAAAAAGCTTTTGAAGCATATGAAAAATATTTAAGTTTTCAAGAAAGGTCAAATAAAAAAGGAAAGTATTTATCAATAATAATTAATTATTTACAATATATTAATGAAATTTTTTTAATCTATGTTTATTTTCAAAGAACACATTTTATGTGATTCTCAAACAAGTCCAATTTTCAGGCATACAAAATGACAAGCACGTGCCATTTGTTATTAAAATTTGCCGCCGCGTATTTGTGGGCGTGGCATGTTATTGAAGCTTGTTTATTTTAAAGAGTTTTGACGACGAACGTCGGCATGCAATTGACTGGAATTGTGTGATATTGATATTACCCGAGTTTTCGACCGAGCCGGAGCACGATGGCTTTCGACAAGTTGCACTTGTCGAACCACAAGACCGTCTTCGTGCTCGACCACGCACCCTTCTTCAACTACGGCTGCAACAACCCGCACGAATTCGACTTTTCCAAGTCTCGAGTGCCCGGTGTCATTCCGCTGGCGCCGATCGACAAGTCCCTTTGGACGTGCTGCGTCGAGTCGGCCCTCGAGTACTGCAGGGTTGTCTGGGACATTTTCCCCAGCGGAAAGTTGGTTGGTGTCTGCGTTAATTTTACTGAAAAATTTTGATTTTGAAGAGGTAAAACTTGAGTAAAAAGTCTTCCAAATATTTTCAGATTTCGTTCATCATCAGCGACTCAAAAGCCCACCGACTGAACACATGGAGCGTGTCGCAACAAAATCTGGCTCATGTAAGTCATCAGAGGTTTGAAGTTTGAACAAAAAATTTTGACAGTCCACTCCAGTCCAGATTTATGTATGTATGCAGAAAAAAATTTAAAACATTGTATGAGCCGATAACGTAGATTGTGCACAGTCTACATTTATTTTTCATCTTAAAGACTGGATTGTGTTTTACCTTTTTCCATTAAATTTTTCTTTAATTATCCTTCAATTAATTTAAGCCATATTTGAGACAATTTGGAACAGAATCCACGAATTTCTTAAGGTATGATTTTGAATTTGGCGCCATTTTGCGACCGAGTGACGTCACGAATGGTTTGTTGATGTTTTCCAACATGCCTGTCGTCGAGTCCACCGAGTGATGCGCTGATTCGAATTTTCGGCAAGAAGATAAATCATGAAAATCGCCGTCGAAGGATGTGCGCACGGCGAGCTGGAGCGGATCTACGAGACGCTGGCGCTGCTAGAGCAGAAGGAAAACATCAAGGTGGACCTGCTGCTGTGCTGCGGCGACTTCCAGTCGGTGCGCAACCAGGACGACCTGACGTGCCTGGCCGTGCCGCAGAAGTACCGCGAGATGGGCACCTTCTACAAGTACTACTCGGGCGAGAAGGTGGCGCCCGTGCTGACCATCTTCATCGGCGGCAACCACGAGGCGTCCAACTACCTGCAGGAGCTGCCCTACGGAGGCTGGGCGGCGCCCAACATCTACTACCTGGGCTACGCGGGATGCGTCAACGTCGCCGGCATCAGGATCGCCGGCCTTTCGGGCATCTACAAGGGCAGGGACTTCATGAAGGGTCACTACGAGAAACCACCGTACTCGGAAGAGACGAAACGCAGCGTCTACCACATAAGGAACATTGATGTTTTTCGGTATACATTTTTTTATAATTAAGTTAAAACATTTAATCAAAATTTAAAATAAATACCATTTAAAACTTTTATCTAATATGGTTTTCTCATTGCAGTTTAAAGCAGCTTCAGCAGCCGATTGACATTTTCCTCTCTCACGACTGGCCTCGTGGAGTTTACCACTTTGGCGATGTGGACAAACTGCTTCGAGCGAAACCCTTTTTCAAAGAGGAGGTTTTGACCAACTCGCTCGGCTCGGCGCCCTCTCAGGAGCTGCTCACCGTGCTCCGGCCCAAGTACTGGTTTGCGGCGCACTTGCACGTCAAGTTCCCGGCCATAGTGACGCACACAGTCACCGACGACGATGGAGACAAGCAAGTGGGGGTGACCAAGTTCCTTGCCCTTGACAAATGCCTCCCCCGGAGACATTTCCTCCAGGTTGGTTGGCTTCGAAAATAAATTGTCAAATTAAAATTAAAATATTTTATGTTCAAGAAGCTAATGAAACCTCTCAAGCTAAAACAAGGGATTTATTTAAAAAAAAATTAATCTTGTGAAAAGTACACCATAATTTGACAGATTTGGCATTGAAAAAACTTGTAAAAGTTAGCAAAAAAAGACCTTTCTGTAGTTTCAACTAAAAAAATTGAATATCTTGGGTTCTATTTGCAATACAGAAATGTGGCTAGAACCATAAATTGTATTTATACCTCATCTTCAACCCTGAAAGGTCCAATTCTTCAGAGGTCATTTTCTAGTGGTCATACGAGCAAAAAATTCTAGCAAAAAATTCCACATTCTATTGGGTTGATTTTTTTTAAGAGAGTCCTAACATGTAGGAACAACATATTAAAATTCAGAATGGTATCCTTTTTAGATTTTTTATAAATAAATCACGTAGTTAAAAAAAATGTGAATTTCTAATATTTTGCCGATGATCAAAAATAAATTTTAAGGAAGTATGCATCTAATATTGGTTAATTTTTTTAATTTTTCTGACAATTCATTATTTAATTTTCAAATATTCTATAAATTAATTTCCAACCATTGCCAAAACGTTAAAAATACAGGTTTTTTTTAAAAACCTAGTTTTATTTTATCTTTTATAAAAAAAAAATATAAAAATATGCCATTCTGAATTTTTAATATTTTATTCCTAAATGATAGGGCTATAGTAGGAAAAATTTCAGATCAATTGAAGGTGGCATATTTTAGATACAATTTTCTTTTTTTGTAAGTGTGACTCCTAGAAAATGGCCTTTACCTCTGAATAATTTGATCTCTCAGGGTGTTAGAAGACGCATAAAGAAAATTTTTGGTTCTAGCCGCATTTATGTATATCTGAATTAGAACCCAAGATATTTAATTTTCAAGTAGTAACTACAGTAGCGTTTTTCCAGGAAAGTTTGTTTTTGCATTTTTTCCACTCCAAAATCTGTCAAATTATGTGAACTTTTCACCTGATTTTTGTGTAAATAAATCCATGACCACTTACTTGCCAATCGACCTGTGCTTTGGCTTGAAAGGTGTCTTAATCGCAAAAAAGTGCTGTGGCAAAAACTGAAGAACCTAGCCAAAAGTATTATGTAACACATTAAAAATCAAATTTCTGGTTTTCAGGTAATCGATGTCCCGCACAACAGTGAGCAGCCAATACAGCTGAGCTACGACCCGGAGTGGCTGGCGGTGCTGCTGCTGACCAACCACCTCTTGAGCGTCAAAGCCACCACCCAGTACATGCCTGGACCTGGCGGCACCGACCGCTGGGTTTTCAACCCCAGCTCCGAGGAGATGGACGCGGTCAAGGCCCGTTTCGAGGACGACCTGCAAATCCCACTGAACTTTGTGCCCACGGCGCCGCCCTTTGACCCTATGGGGCATCCGGCCAGTCGGCAACAACGAAACTCAATCGGGCCGAGCGTGAATCCACAAACAACCACGCTGTGCGAGTGTCTGGGCATCGACGACCCCATGGTGTTGAATGGCGGGGTCAGAGGGGTTGGATCCCCGTTCATAGCCAAACCGAGGGGCGACGATGAAGAAGAGACGGGTGAAGAGACCGACGACGGTCCCAGTTCTCTGTGGTCCATATCAACGTCAGGCACGCCCAGCAGGCAAGTCATTTTGACAAGGTTTAAAAATTATCAAATATTTGATATTTTACAGATCAAGTCTTGTTCTACCAAGCCCGAAATTAACCGAAGATGAGCAGGAAGGAGAATTAGACCGAACACTGGAGGAAACCACTGAAGTCAAAGACAAGGAACCACCGAGGATAACAGAGGATGACGATAGTTCAGCTCAGAACATGAACGAGCCCTCCATCCCTAGTGTCAAGAGATTCAAGCGGCGAAATTATAATTTGTATCAGTGCGCGTCTGAAGATGACTAACTCTCAATCCGTGATGATTTTATTTTAGCGTTCCAAGATCGCATTTGATTAAATTGTGTTCAAATGTGCGTCGTCCCTAAAATAAAAAACTTTCATGTTGAAGAAACTCAAAAACAATTTTTTCAAATATATGTGATGATTGCTGATTCAATGTAGGCTCATATTTGCAAAATAATCATGAATTTCTTATTATTTTTAGCTGCACAGCCAGTTTTCGGCTCTGGGTGCACCGGCGCCGCCACCTTCTCGGCCTGATCACACCGTGGTGCATGGTCTGAAGAGCTCGATAGAACTTCTCAGTCAATGCTCGGAACTGCAGCACGAACGGCGCACGTCCTTGACCGAAAACGCCTCCAAGGTGCAAAACAGGACCAGGGTGATTTGCCTGACTTCGGTCCGGGATGATCAGCAGCTCGTCTCTTATGAGGAATACTTCCTCAGCATGCTGCTCCACCAGAACAAGGTTGCCACCGGATCGGACAAGTAACTTTCCAAATTTCTGTATTGGTTACTTGCTAATTGACAATATCCTCAGTTTGATTCCAATCCACCATTGTCACTTGGTCGTCCTCAATGTGTTTCCAAACGGGCAGCATTGTGATGTCAGAGGTCACCTTCCTCGAGAGGTAATAAAGTTTTTTTTAATAGGACTTGATTCATAGAAAAAAATTCATAGATGTCTCCAGTTTTAACCGTGGAAGCGCACTCGATTCAGGCCGGTGGATTTTTGTCCACAAAACTGTCCAGCCTGATTCTTAATCACTACAATTTGGCGTCAACGACGGTCACTGGCATCCCGATGAAAGAGGAGCAAAATGCCAGCTCGTCTGCAAACTACGACGTTGAAATTTTCCACCCGATATCATCGCACCAGTCAATTCTTGGAGGTAGTTGATAAAATCATGTTTACTAACTGAATTTCATGTAATTTGAGTTAAAGTTTAGAAAAATAAGGAAATTTTAGAAGTTATTTCAGAAATAATTGTTTGTTACTAAATTTCATCTAAATTTTGTTTGAAAAAAAAATCATATAATCTTTAATTTACTATGAAATAATTCATTGGTTAATGAAAATTTCTGTTCTGATAGGATCCTATGACACATCGTTGATACGAGCACTTCGTGAAGGCTCGGATTACGAGACGGTCACTCTGAAGTGGTGCACGCCGAGAGGAAGTGCGGCTGTGGAGCTGCAACACTGCACCATGATGCAGAGAATCACACCGGTCGATGTCAACAGCCGGCCCTCCTCGTGTCTCATAAACTTCCTCTTAAGTGGCCGCTCGGTGATGCTCGAGATGCCGAGGAGGACTGGAGGCAAGGTCATGTCCCATTTGCTGGCTGCCCATGGTGGCGAGATTTTCATCCACACCTTGTCAACAACCAGGAGTGTTCTCGAAGACCCTCCGTCGATCAGTGAGGGCTCCGGAGGGCGCGTCACGGACTACAGAATCACAGTAAATTTTTTTAAATAAAATTTTGTAAAAAGTTAATTGCTTCTTAGGATTTTGCTGCAATTATGAGAGCCAACAAACTGCTTCCTCTGAAAAGACCAAGCACCCAGTCCATCGAGGACTCGCCTGTGTTTCAAATGAAGAAAAGGCTGGACAGGTACACCAAGTACTGGCCCATGACCATCTCGTCCACAATGATCTTCAACTTGCGACAAGTAATTCAAAATTCTATTAGCACTTTTTTTCAAACAGCCACACTTTTGATAAAGGTCAACTGACGTGAATGAAATTTGGCATTTTGGTACCGAGTGTTGCTGTAGCATCAATAGTAGTGAAATTATCATTAATTTTGCACAGCAAAAGTTGGAATTCAATGAAGAAATTATTTAAAATAGCTGTAACTTTACTTCAATTGATGCAAAAGTGTGGTCGTTAATAGAAAATTGTCTGTTTTATAAACAGGAAACTAAATTTGGATAATTTTTAGCACTTGGATCCTCTTTTGGGTTACGTCGCCGAGGAAGAGATCACAGACGAGCAGGTGATGCAATGTCAACATGTGATTTTCAACCTGGTGGGCCTCGAGTCCAGACACGAACCCCTCAATCCCCCCACCATGGGCCACAAAGGAAAAGGTCCAAAAAGGTTAGAAATGGAATTAAATTATTAGAAAATTTGCCAAATTCGATTTGTGCAGGGATGAGCAGTACCGAACGTTGTGGAATGAGTTGGAAACGTACATCCGGGCAAACTGCAACTCGGAAAATCACCGGAAAGTGCTCAGCTGCCTCCTCGAGTGCCGCAACAAGCCCGACGTGCCCAAGAGCAAAAGTCGCGATGACAAAGTGGGCCTCGACCAAGCCCTCAGAGAATTGGATCCGTAAGTTTTTTAAAGACGATTTTTTTTAAACGGATTAAATGAAATTAAAAAATTTTCAGGTATGGTGGTTCAGACGAGAGTCTTCAGCGAGTCAGCGTCATAAGAGCGACAACAGACTCGCCCATGTCGCCTCCGCTGCATTCGCAACACGCCCTTGGTCCTTACACGTCCCTGCTCGACATTTGGGTCACCAAAGTGAACATCGAGCGCACCAGAAAAGGACCAGATTTTTACGGTCGGACGATCACACCTGATGGAGCCATCGCCAGACTCTACACAAATTTGAAAACGGACGGAGAGGAACCGGAGAAGTAGATTATCTGTATTTACAAATAAAACGTTTTGAATAATACACAATATTTTCTTCATTTATTCAACATCAATATACAACTTTCCACTTATGTCTCCTTAAAACTTAAGATGTGTGTGTCTCACAGGCATGCTTTTCGTTAGTGCAGTATCCAAATTAGTGCAATTGTTTCACCGAGATCACTTCAGCAAAATAATTTCCGGACACAATTTTCTTAAACGCTAAAGTGCACTTATCGATTAATCCCCAAAATGTTAACAAAGAGATTGCAACAGAATCATCAGCATTATAAAATATATAAAGATTATTAGTACCATAAATTTTTGAAAGTGAATAATGGCGTTTGGAAGGTCTAGGAACATTAAAAGCCATGATTTTTTTTTTTTTTGAAACAAGGACAAAAACCTACTTTCGACAAGTCAAAACTGGGTTTCTTTGATATAAAGAAAGAGCTTCTCGTCGAAAAATGCAAATAAAAAAGTTGTAATAGGAATCAGCATCTTGTCAGCGTTTGGTAACTACAGGGTTATTTTATTTCAATGGCGAGTCTCTCCAGCCAATCAAAGTTCGTTGCTTCCTGGGACTCGCGGAAAACCAACATCTTCAATTTGAATTGAAATAATATATAATTTTTTGATTCAGACTAGACAGACGTACGTCTTGAGCACGATCGAACGAAATATTTTCTGGCAGGGAGAGATGAAAATTAACCGAATACAAAATTTACATTGTGTTTCGTTAGTTTATAAGTTTGTGTTAATCATTTGCCCTCTTTGAATGAATTCACTAGATTCGCGTTGAATAAAAAAATGGCTTCTACTCAATGTTTCTTATTTGAACATCACAGCCGCAAGTTTAAAAAACATTTCAACTGAACACGTTTTTCTCCACCTATGTTGTAAAAAAATCGCTCATATTACATTATTTTTTTTCTATTTTAATTAACCACCAAAAATGATCAAATTACGTACAGAGAGTTTTTCCCCAGAACTACGATTTTCACTCATCGATTTGATTATTCAAGATATGGACGAGTGTTTTGATATGTCGGTCAGTTCAAACACGCACTTTTTTCAATTAGCATTTTTCATATTACAATAATATAATTATATAAATATAGTTGTGTGCACAGGAGATGGTGCAAAGTCTGACTTTTCCTTTTTTTTTATAGTTCCACATTATTTCTCACCCGCAGCCGATTACTGTTTTTCTTCTCCTCGCCATACTCACGTTTTTCTTCAAAATAATTCTATTCAAGCGTGTGCGTTTTTTTGAGACAATTGAAATAATAAACTAATTATTAGCTTTTACCAGAAAAAAAACCGAAATCGGCGACGGTGGAAATTTTCATTCAAGCCTGTCGGCTGCCCGCTCGGCTCTCGTCCTGACTGGTGTTGCCGTTGTAGTTGAACTCGCTGATGATGACCGAGTCGGGCGAGCCGCTGTGCGAGATGCAGTCCCTGATCGACAGCAGGATGATCTGCACCCTGCGGTCCAGGGCCTTCAAGTGGGGCTCCCACAGGATCGGGGAAAGAGGGTCGCGAGACATGGACTCGCGCATCAGCTCGCTCAGCTTCTTTGGACCGTTGTGGAACCTGAAACAAAAATATTCAAGAAATTGTTATAAAAAAATTAAAATTTGAAACTCATTGTGATCTTGTAAATGTTTCTCTCAATTGAATATTTTTATATTGCTTTTTTAAGCAAAATTAAAGGTACTGATTTTAAGTTAAGAAATAATTGTTTTAAAAATGAATAAAATTAAATAAAATAATGCGTTGTTAAAATTTCAATTAAGCCAAATAAATTTATGTTTTGTTTATTTTTTAGTAATCTTTTTTAATTTTTTCAGTGAAGTTGCGCTTGCGTTGATACGTGAATTTCAGTTTTTAATTTATTTTAACTTAATTTTTATAAAAGATACTTATCGTGGATTTAGAAAACAATGCTCAGAAGGTATAAATTTCAACTTTTTTTTATTTGAAATCTTGATTTTTCTAAACACAGATTAGGATTTTTGTATCCAAAATATACTATATTATTTTTCCCATTTGAAACTTCAAAATCGCGACAAATAATGTTGCCGTTTGTATTGGTTTTTTGAAGTTTTATTCAGAAAATTAGTTTTTTGGAAACAAAAATTCTGATCTAATCAGTTTTTAAAAATTAAGATTTTCAATCAGAAGTTGAGATTTGGAAATTTGGACTCGTTTCCCGTAAGTTTATATAAAAAGAGTTGAAAAACTTAATTTATTCAAAACAGATTAGGATTTTGGTTTACAATTAATTAATATTTTAAACAAATTTTTCAATTTAATACATAAAAATCATTAATTTATGGAATCGGGAATCGGTTAATTAGAAAAAATTTGGATTAAAAAAGAAATAAAATTTTCAAATTTGGACATTTTAATTTGTTTTCTGAGCTCGATTTCTGCATAAAAGTTGAATTGGTAAAGTGATATTCTATCTAAAGTTTTCGAAATTGGAAGAAATTAACCAGAAATACCAAAAATTAGACACTAACATTTTCTGAATTCAAAATGTCGGGAAACGATCGGTCATCGTTGGTATGGGGTGGCTAGCATTGATTGAAACGATAATTACTTACTTTAAAATGTTGGTTGTTATTAATTAGCCTTTTTCTTTGCACATATTACAAAACGCAACTGTGTCACTTGGCTACTCATAAACGACTCTCTTTCAATCTTGCTGCTCTGTCACCTGATGCCCTGTCTGTCTCTCAGCTTCGGCCACGAATGGTGCAGCAAGCACCATCAGTGGCCGCTCGAGGAAGTGCCGAGTTTACCCCGACACCTCCCCGGCTGAGAGGAGACAAGATCATCGGTGACATGAGGACAACAATTTAATTTTAAAGATACACATTGTCAATAGAACACATAAATTGAAAGATACATTTTCAATTGAGCAAAACTTAAAATTAAAGATGCATTTTCAATTGAGCACTGGAGGGTATTTGTGTCGAATTAATTTGAGAAGTTAATTTTAGTTGTACAATTTAATTGTTTTTGAAATTAAAATTTTAATTGTCGAATTCTTGGGGTGCGTTGCGCAAGAAATAGGAGTTGTTTCTCAGCAGTTTTCTCTACTTCCGCTGCTACCCAGGGCAGGCATTGCTTAAATGGGGTGGACAAGGTCCCATAGCAAACTGGCGTTTCCCCCCCGGGACAACAGAAGCAGATATACCTACGAGTTGGAGACGCATTTTTTTTTTTTTGTAGTGGAGGGATGAAATGTGGTTTTGAGAACCAAAATTGAGAAGGACTGAACTCCAATTTTTTGCGCAAAGCAATGATTTGAGCGAGTTGAAAATAAATTTGTTTCACGCACCTGTTTGTGTTGTGTTACATTTTAATTTTTTGATTTGCCGAAAGTACAGTTTGTTCGTGAATTTTGATTGACAGTTTTGTGTTTCATTTGTGTATTGTGTGATTGGTTTAAAATTAATTTGTTGACGAGTGTTTAAAGCTAAGAAAAAGGGAATTAAAGTGCTCATGATTTACCCTCTAAAATTGAATGGGGTCGCCTTGAAGAGGCGAATATGGTTCCTGTAATTTGGAAATTTTTTTTGTTAATTAGATGTTGGTCAAGGCACCATGGTTCAAGAGCATTCTGAAACTGAGAAGAATTTTAGTGTTTGGTTTTTTTTTTCATTTGTCGGTTTTGGGGAAATTTAAAATTGGTTCTGATAATTGAACTTCAATTTAAACTAGGTTTTTCTATTCTACTTTTTGCTTTGACTCTACTCCCATTTTTTTTCTATTTGTCTATTTTTCCCAGTCTAATCTAATTTTTCTTCAAATCTATTTTGCTCTACTCTATTTTGCTCTACTCTATTTTTTTTTGTCTACTCGATTTCTGTGTTTTGTTTTGGCAAGAAATTATTTTATTATTATTTTTTTTTTGGTTGACTGAGGTGTTCCTTTGACAATGAGGCTTGAGGGAGAGTCAGAGATACCGGGCCCCCGCTGGCGGGATTGGAATCGGGATCAGAAACCGTGCCACCATTTTTTTGAGACCTTACGGGGTCATCGTCCCCTCGAATGAAGCCTAATCGTCAATGGGTTTCAATTTGACTCCGCGGGAGGGTGGTGCTTGGAGATACCGGGCCTTCCGGGGTTGCGTCGGGCGCGGATTAACACCCGACTCGCCGATGAGGAAAGCCACTAAGGGTCCGGATTCACCCATCGCGAGGGTCATTTCAAAGACACCCGGATTTGTCATTAAAAATTGGGTGGATTGGGCCCATTGGATTTGAGCAGTAGGGGAAGGGGAAAATGGAAGGGGAATTAGTGTTAGGGGTTGATTAGCTTGATTTTTGGGTTCCAAGGCGTATATTTGTTAATTTTGGTAATTTTGATTCAAAAAATAAGGAAAAATAAGGAGGGAAGTTGGAACCCCTAGCCAGAGCCATGGCCCAACTTGGCCTTCAGGGCGCGATTTTCTTCCTGAAGGAGAGCCATTTGGCGACTGAAACACTCTTCTTCAGAGTGGCCAGTGAAGAGAATGGGAAAAGAAGTCGTCATGATAGGTAGTCGTGGGGCTTGTCTCCGGGATAATGGCCGCCGAATGTGGCTTGTTGCTAAGCAAGGATGCACGTTGGGTGGAGGGTTTCGGGGGCTGTTAGTTGGGCGCCAGTTGTCGGGAAATGTTCGGTCATCGTTGGTATGGGGTGGCTAGCATTGATTGAAACGATAATTACTTACTTTAAAATGTTGGTTGTTATTAATTAGCCTTTTTCTTTGCACATATTACAAAACGCAACTGTGTCACTTGGCTACTCATAAACGACTCTCTTTCAATCTTGCTGCTCTGTCACCTGATGCCCTGTCTGTCTCTCAGCTTCGGCCACGAATGGTGCAGCAAGCACCATCAGTGGCCGCTCGAGGAAGTGCCGAGTTTACCCCGACACAAAATAAGAGCTTATTGACGTTAAGACGCGTAATAAATTTATAATCCGAACTCTGAACTTTGGTCTCTTTCAAGTCTCATTATCAAGTGACTCCATTATCAGCGGTAAATCCGAGACGGTCGTCGGAAGGATTTAAGCCGCTGCAAATTTAATCGCTCGAGCGAGAGGGCGGCGAGCTCATCTTTCGCCGGCCTCGTGCATAATTCAGCGTCGCAGGCTCTCCTTATTCATGCGTCTCGGCCCGTGGAGCCCCATTATGTGTCACTCGTCGGCTCTTTTTGTGGTTTGCCTCGCTCGGGCTTATTTGATTTGGCGCCGCGTAAATAAATAATCGAGTCTCTCCAATTGACTCATTGGCCGCCCGCTTTATTTCCCTCAAAAGAAAACTTTACGGCCGCCCCGCGGGCCGAGCCATGAATATTTCACCGCGCGCACGGCCAGATTTATAGACGCGCGCCGACCCGCAACGCACGCCTGCCCTGCCGGTTGCATATTTCGCCGTCCTGCAGGCGCTCCTCAAGGAATTGACGTGCTTTCGCAGGCGAAATCGCTCTTTTGTGGTGAGCAAAGTGCAAAATTTACAAGTCTGAGGTGCAAATGTAAAGGAGAAATAGAAAAACTGCAAGAATCCGAAAATTTTCAGGAAATTTTGAAAATAGAATTCTATTTAACACTTTTTCATTGATAGGATGAAAGATGAAAATGAGGGAAAAATAAATTAGAATTATGAGTTTTTCATTCTTTTTGCTGATTAATTGCAAAAATTAACTATGAATGAATTATAAAAAAACCGGGCTTGACTAATCTCGATAAATCTGTGTTAAAACTTGTAATTGAAAACTTTAACTGGAGAGAAGATCTGGCTCTTGATTAAGAGCAGTGGAAATGTCTTTTCTTTGTGCAGTTTTTTACAAATTTTTTCATGAAATAATGTCACAGTCCTTAACAAAAAATTGTTATGAATAAAAGTAAATAATTATGTAAATCAGACAATTTTGTAGTTTCAAAAGAAAAAACTTTAAATGAATTTTTCTAGCATTATAAACTTGGATAAAAATTTATTTTCTTTTGTGCATTTTTATTAGCAATGCTCGTGAACATTTTCAGTGAAAAGCAGAATTACAAAAACTGAGTAAAAATATATTTCTTTTTCTCTGGCTTCGTTTTTTTCCAGGTAAAACATGCGAAAGCAAACATTGCTGAGCTCATCAACCAGCGCGGTGGATTATAAGGAGTGAAGAAATCCGGTTTTTGAAAAACCGACGAGCACAGTTTCTAAAAGTGTTGACGCGCTTTTCCCTGAACGCGCGGAGGAGTCTCGTGTGTGTGCTTTTAATTGTGCGCAGGCGGAGCGAATTCTCCACCGTACCTTGCTCGAGCATTGTTCGCTCTGTATCAACACGGACGGAAGAAAGAAGAGATTTGTACAATATTAACGCGCGCGTGCTAATTTGCCGTGTTTGCCGACGAGAGGAGCGCTCGCTCGCTTAATAATTAATTAGCGCACCGGCCCCGAATCATCTGCAGCGGCTGCGTCTGACTATTTGATAGACACGCGTCATTCTTTCATTCCTCGGCTTGTCGGCTGCGCGCCTTTGATGGTCCAATTAGGCCGAGGCGCGCTCAGTCCGTCTCCGTCAGCACCACCTGTGGCGCAAAACG